CTTTCCTTTCTCTGACGCAGGTGCGTTTTTAGTTGGATACACTATAAAAGCACGCTGTTCAAGATAAGGAAAACCCGAACAGTCGATGAAACTGATGATTGGACATCTGTGCAGTTAATGTCACCCTGGCTGTGATTAACAGCTCCTTTGGACTTGGCTAGTGTACGATTTTGCATTGTGCTGTTATGTTATTTGATGTTAGGCCATTAAATGGTCTGTTAAATAATAAAAAGAAAAAATAAATTTGTCCCACCGTGAAGATTTAGTATGTCTCGAAATGTAATGGTAGACGCGTTTGACGCGGATTGAAGCAGTTATGTCTCTTCTCCTAACCACATGTACAACTACAAATACTTTCAGCTGGTTTGATTTAGCGCAACTAAACGAGAGAGCCCTAAGGAATACCTTGTGAATGTGTCCTTGCTGTAGACACAGCAGTGACGAATCACTTCGCGATGAAGTTTCTCCGCTCCTCATGCTCCAGGGACTTTTAACACGTGGTCTGCGTTTCATGCAATTTCATTAAAACGAGATTTGTTGTAACAAAGAAGAAACGAACGATCCCATGCGCCCAAAGATTTCTCTTATAGTTAGTTATCGGAAGTCGAAGGAACAGAGCGCATTCAGATGACTCCGAATTTTCATACGTTTTGTAACTCTGGGGAAATCACAAGACACACCTTGAAACTAAGTGTCACGATGAACACAAACTCTCTCTCTCTCTTCTGTAATGACTGTTCTGTCGTTTTAACGGTGTATAAACATAACACCATCTCTGTTTGTTTTTATCCGGAGCTAGGGGGATAATTAACTGGCGTTGCGGTAGAGAAAAATACACAACAGTTCCTGCAGTTTCATTAATTATGACCAACCACTTACTCGTTTATATAATTCTAGCTTACGCTCTTAATGGCGGCCATAATTTTCACATGACTGATTTAAGTTTAAAAAAAGAGTATCTAAGTGTGCCGCTTGTAGTTGTGCTATCAAGCAAAGCTATTAATCCCTAACAATGAAAGTTTAATGGTCATAAAGTTCAGAACAGTGCACGAAAAATAATAAACCAGCAGCGAGCCCCTGGAGAAAAGTGAGTGCCGCAGCGATACTTTAGAATTGAATGAGCAGGATTATTACGTCAGAAATAATAAAGTAGATAAATACACGCGCTCAACAATCACGTGAAGTAAACCTTTCTTAAATCACGTATGAAATACACTTGTTCTCTTCTCCTGCTAAAGAAACAACATGAACACGAAGTCGTAATTTAAAGACTGTAGAAACAACAGCCCCACCTCAGTACAAAAGCTATAACAAAGAGTGGTGTATGTTTATCAATATGAAAGCTTGGGCTTTATTTCAAAACGGTAATATAACAACAAATACATTAGTATATAAAAGTTCCTGAAGCTCCAAATTTTATAAATGCAGCAAAAGAATAGAGCTGAGCGTTCGTTATTTAGGCTTAAAAATTGCTAGCTCTATTTATTTAGATACTTAGCAGACGATATTGTAACATTGCTATTTGAAACACGATGTTAGATTATTATAAGATTTATAACTAATGTCAATTATTTAGTAAAGTTAATAACAAAACCTTTTCTTCTTGTGTTAGAACCTGTGTTTTAGAAAAATAACTAGGGATCGATATATACGTAACCTAGCTAGCTATAGTAATATAGAAAGTTTTAATGCTACAAAACATATTGAAACAAGAAAGTCAAAACTAAAAAATTGAGTTACTTAAAATTTAAAAAGGTTATCGCTCCTTTGGCAAATCACTGAAATTATGTTAGTCTAAGCCAAAGCAGGGACAAAAATCGTTAGTCTGAGCCAAAGTAGGGACAAACATCATTAGTCTGAACCAAAGCAGGACAAAAAACGTTAGTCTAAGCCAAAGCCTTTGGCTCAGACTAACGATTTTTGTCCCTCAGAGACAAAAATAGTTAGTCTGAGCCAAAACAGGGACAAAAATCTAAACATTTTTTAAACATAGGTTACGTATATATATATCGATCCCTACTTGACATTATAAAATGTATTATTTTTGATTATATTTGTTTGTTATCTTTTTGTTAGCTACAGTTTTGTGCTCCAGTAAAACCGAGCGTGGGGCACGCGCATACCCGATTCGATTTTATTACTCATTAGGATCTCTACCAACCTACCCTCAAATCTAATTATATACCCAAAGCAGCGCATCATCTGTTTTATGTATCTGTGATTGTTTGTAATTAAGCACAAAGTTATATACTTAATGAGCTATCTGTGCTCTGCCCACCACGGGTATCGAAACCCGGATTCTAGCGTTGTAAGTCCGCAGACATGCCGCTGGGAGGGGGGCTTATATGTGTGTGTGTATGTGTATACATACTAGTGTATATACACTAGTATCCTTTTCAGTACAAGAAAGGAATTATTGGGACCCCAGACTAAAGAGTTCTGTGAAAGAATTAGAGCGATAAGTTTCGTCATTTTTTTTCTATACGCTTGTCTGGAAAAGTCACTTACTTACTTACTTAGTTAGAAATTCGTTGAAATAATGAAATATTTATTGACTCCATAAATACGTATAGAGCGATATAGGTGGCTTTATAAGTACAATAAGCTTTAGATTTGCTCAGCCAATACTGTGAAGTAGTCATTGTTAATATTCAGGTATTATTAATGGTGGTTTTAAACGGGCGATTTTTATGATCGCCATTTTGTTTCATCACGATCCCTACTATTAAGTATTACCGTACTTAGTGATATATTCATCTCTTTAAAACATAACTGCGTCATCATTTTTTGAGTCACGTAGTCTAACTTTTTTTAACTGAATTCTTCAACAAACTTCTTATTCACTACATTTTTGACACCTGCCCCATCCCTCTTTAGAGGCTCAGAGGTAACTCTGAGGACTTGTAGCTCTAAAAATCGGGTTTCGATACTCGTGGTGGGAACAGCACAGACAACCCATTGTGTAGCTTTGTGTTTAAGAACAAAACAATCAAACTTAAAACTATGAGCGTTTCGAAATTAACAAACAGAAGATGAGGTCAAAATCTTGTTCGTTTCGATTTTGTCTCGTTGAATTTTGCGCTAAGCTACACGAGGGCTTCTTGCGCTAGTCGTCCCTAATTCAGAAGAAAGGCAGCTAACCAATACCACCCAAAGCCAACTCTTTACTAACTAATATTAGGATTGACCGTCACATTATAACACCTCCCACGGTTGAAAAGTAGAGCATGTTCAGTGGCGGCTTTAGAACCCGCGACCCACAGATTTCGAGTCAAGCTCCTAACCACCAGAAAAAATGGGCCGTTTTTGGGCTGTGAACTCATTTTTTTATTCCCCAAAATCGAATGAGTACTATTTGCATATTTTTTTGAATAATATATTTTTTAAATACGACAAACAGATTAATTTTTAACGTAGACCGGATGAATTTCTTGAAAAAAGGCCTAGATCAAAATCAACAGTCATTTTGAGACAAAAACTGAGAAAGTTTGGAAATTCAAAATGTGTATTACCAAATTCAATCTATTTTTGGATAAAAAAATGGCCGCCAAATATCAATATTATGTCCATTCTTTTTTTATGTAGTTATATAATTCGCTGTCATCAGATACTAAACTACTGTAATTATTCCACTTTGTAACGAGCATTTGTGTTTCTGAAATACACATAAATACCGACGATGACACAATATTTCATTTCATGGGGCAGGGATCGTTACTTTCTAATGCATTTCTTGCATTCTGTCAGCAGAAACAAGCATTTTCGGTTTCAGCGGCTCGAAATTATGTTAAAAAGTCATGTTACCAAATTTTACCCAAAAATGTCCCTTAATGTTTCCTTTCTGGAAGTTCCGACTAGACTAGCCATTCCGAAGAAAGAATATAACACTGTGAATTACTACAAAGTGATTATAAAACCTTTAAAAAAACTAACTAAAACTCCAAACAGTTTCGAAAGGCAGTTACTTCTTCATGAAGATGAAGAAGTAACTAATCCATCGAAAGTGCTCTACATACAAACTGATCTAGAGACGAAATACCAGCTTTCATTACGTGCAGTAACAATGTACTTCTCCATCTCAGAGCAACAATAAATGTCTTTACCACTTCTGTCTTACACCTGGCGCTCTTAATAGTAGCTGTATACTTGTCGCTTGGTTGATAATGACGTATAGAGCAGCTCGTAACGTCACTAGTTCTCTGGTGCGCCTGAATTTAGTGATGAGATTCATACAGGAGAGTAACAAAAGAAGAGGAAACGTGAAAAGTCTAGGAAAAACTAAGGAACATCTGAAGTGATCTATATATAACCTGTGCCGACTACTACCGGTTGTTAATACGAGCAGCAGACAAACGCTCTATTAAGCTCATCGATCCGCAATAGCAGCCCATTTCCACCACATTTGTTGTCAGCAGGGTTGCCGGAAAAGATGTACATATAACCAGGTTCTACGTACAAGTATCCTCTATCGCTGGTCTAATTGCTGCGTATATAAAACCAGGTTCTACGTACAAGTATCCTCTATCGCTGGTCTAATTGCTGCGTATATAAAACCAGGTTCTACGTACAAGTATCCTTCTATCGCTGGTCTAATTGCTACGTATATAAAACCAGGTTCTACGTACAAGTAGCTTCTATCGCTGGTCTAATTGCTACGTATATAAAACCAGGTTCTACGTACAAGTATCCTCTATCGCTGGTCTAATTGCTACGTATATAAAACCAGGTTCTACGTACAAGTATCCTCTATCGCTAGTGTAATTGCTACGTATGTAAAACCAGGTTCTACGCACAAGTATCCTCTATCGCTGGTTTCTTTGCTACGTATATAAAACCAGGTTCTACGTACAAGTATCCTCTATCGCTGGTCTAATTGCTACGTTTAGGGCAATATTAAGTGTCTCTTCTTAATGGAAATCTATCTTCGCCGTTCAAAACAACACATGCAAAATGTTTTGGTTCAAAAGACTTTGTCTTAATCAATTTAAGGTGATACTTACAAACGCTCCAGAGAAACGGTATCTCGAAACGCTCCTCGTTCAATGGTGACGATTCCATTGTTTCTCAGCTGTCTGCAAAACAAAAAAGATAAAAATAAAATTATTTTTTTATTTGTTTGTTGTTCCACGAAGTTAGCTCATAAAACAACTTACAAGTTGTCATATATCTTACAATAACTTATTTAAAACCCCCTGTTGTCGCATGGATCATGATAACCGAGGACGTGAAACGAATAATAATTTAAATATTGCCGGGTTCCATCAATATTTACTGCTACTTAAGTTACTTGTTTTCCTTTTAGTGGAACAAGGCATCCCATTTCTCATTTAAGGGATTAATTTAATACACTGTTTATTACACTGATGGGCATCTATTATAAGGTAAGGTCCCGAGTTTTATTAATATTTACGACCCAAAGCGCGCTCTACTTTCTAAGGTTGTGAGTATATAGTTTTGCTTAAAAGTGTCACAGACAGTAAGCACTCTTCGATAACACTCAGGTAGGTGCATTGTAAGCCATCTTCGATAACATTCTAATAAATTTATTGCAAGCACTCTTCGATAACACTCTGGTACATGTATGGTAAGCACTCTTTGATAAAACTCTGGTAAATGTATTGTAAGCACTCTTCGATAACACTCTGGTAAATGTATTGTAAACACTCTTCGATAACACTCTGGTACATGTATGGTAAGCACTCTTTGATAAAACTCTGGTAAATGTATTGTAAACACTCTTCGATAACACACTGGTACATGTATGGTAAGCACTCTTCGATAACACTCTGGTAAATGTATTGTAAACGCTCTTCGATAACACTCTGGTACATGTATGGTAAGCACTCTTCGATAACACTCTGGTAAATGTATTGTAAGCACTCTTCGATAACACTCTGGTACATGTATGGTAAGCACTCTTTGATAACACTCTGGTAAATGCATTGTAAGCACTCTTCGATAACATTCTAATAAATTTATTTTAAACACTCTTCGATAACACTCTGATAAATGTACTGTAAGAAGAGACAACGAAAGTAAATCTACGCTACAACCCTAACGTCAGTGGTACTATTTTAGTGTGTAAAAATACAATGAAGTGTTATTAAAGTTGCAAATATAACGAAAATATCATTCGGTAAGATGGAAGCCAATACGGACAAAATATCGTTAAACAGTGGGAGCTGACCATTCGGTAAGATGGAAGCCAATACTGACACAATATCGTTACACTGTGGGAGCTGACCATTCGGTAAGATGGAAGCCAATACTGATACAATATCGTTACACAGTGAGAGCTGACCATTCGGAAAGATGGAAGCCAATACTGATACAATATCGTTACATTGTGGGAGCTGACCATTCGGTAAGATGGAAGCCAATACTGATACAATATCGTTACACCGTGAGAGCTGACCATTCGGTAAGATGGAAGCCAATACTGACAGAACTATTAACCAAACCAAGACTTTATATATATAATGCTAAAACTCGGGATTCAATCCTGCGGTGGGAACGCCACTGGAGATCATTGTGCATCTTTGCGCTACCTTCCCCAGCAAAGCATGCCCACGTCTATACGCTTAGTTAACTTCAAAGTAAAAACTAAATGGATATTTTACTACTTAAATGAACATGATTTGTTAAGAGTTTATTCTTTCTGATCGATATACTCATAATTTTTACGAAGCATTTTAAAGAACAGGTGCAGCCGTAGAAAAAATATTGTCATGTGACGAGCTACTCTCGACAACAGTACTCACCATAAACATATAACGCTGGTAAATCATGATATCTTGTAATTTACTAATGCATAAATTATAAAATAAAGATAAACGTTTAATCTGATTTCCTGTCATTTTATGTTAATTATAAAATACTGAAGGCTTAAATCTTTGGTTTTAGTCTACCTGATTTATCACGTTCTTTACGCTTTGACGGACGACACTACACTCGTCCTTTTAAAAAAAAAGAAAACGCGAAACTTAAGATTTACCTGGAGTTTACTGACTCGTCACATTCATGTTTTTGGTAGTCACGGTTGGGATAAGAAATGGTTGAAGTCACGTGACTTATAACAATATCCTCAGTCAAAACAGTTCTTTTCTTTAAACAATGTTTCTAACTATAACATCCAGAGGGTTTAAGGTGTCATTCACTATAGGTAACTTATAACATCCAGAAGGGTTAAGGTGCCACTTACTATAAGTAACGTATAACATCCAGAGGTTTTACGGTGTCATTTACTATAAGTAACGTATAACATCCAAAGGATTTATGGTGTCATTTACTATAAGTAACGTATAACATCCAAAGGATTTATGGTGTCATTTACTATAAGTAACGTATAACATCCAGAGGTTTTACGGTGTCATTTACTATAAGTAACGTATAACATCCAGAGGGTTTAGGATGTCATCTACTATAAGTAACGTATAACATCCAGAGGGTTTAGGGTGTCATTTACTATAAGCAACGTATAACACCCAGAGGGTTTACGGTGTCATTTACTATAAGTAACGTATAACATCCAGAGGGTTTAGGATGTCATCTACTATAAGTAACGTATAACATCCAGAGGGTTTAAGGTGCCACTTACTATAAGTAACTTATAACATCCAGAGGGTTTAAGGTGCAATTCACTATAAGTAGCTTATAGCATCCAGAGGGTTTAAGGTGCCATTTATTATAAGTAACGTATAACATCCAGAGGGTTTAGGGTGTCATTCAATATTAGTAACTTATAACATCCAGAGGGTTTAAAGTGTCATTCACTATAAGTAACTTATAACATCCAGAGGGTTTACGGTGTCATTCACTATAAGTAACTTATAACATCCAGAGGGTTTAAGGTGCCATTTATTATAAGTAACGTATAACATCCAGAGGGTTTAGGGTGTCATTCACTATAAGTAACTTATAACATCCAGAGGGTTTAAGGTGCTATTTATTATAAGTAACGTATAACATCCAGAGGGTTTAGGGTGTCATTCACTATAAGTAATATTCGGTCTACTTCCTATTTTTAAACAGCCCATGGCATAGATTCTTTTTTTCTTCTTCGAGAAACGGAAACGGAAATCCCAGCATCTGGATAAGAGACATATCCTTTCTAGTCATCACTTCACATACAAAGGATTATTTTAGTACTTACACACATATAACTTCCAGACTCTGATAACAACATGGCCACAGTTTGTAGCGCTAAACCGCGAATTCTATCACACCACGAGCTTACAGACACCAATGTTGAAAAATGTTTTAGATGGGGTGGATTTTACACACAAAGCACTTACAAACTTAACTTTGAACAAAGTTTCAGATGGAGAGGATTCTACGAACCACGTGCATACAGACTTACCACTGAACAAAGTTTCAGATGGAGGGGATTCTACGAACCACGTGCATACAGACTTACCACTGAACAAAGTTTCAGATGGAGATGATTCTACGAACCACGTGCACACAGACTTACTACTGAACAAAGTTTCAGTTCAGTTTCAGGTTTTATTTAGTAAGTTAATTTAACCAATATTAACGTTAACCAATGTAAACAATGATTGTTATAAAATATTTTTATTACATGTAGAGATTTTATTCATCAATTCGACAATAAGGAGAGAATAATAGGTTTGGATTTCCTATTTCAACCATTAAAATAGGTTATTATTGTTAAGACCTTCTGAGTGAAAACAAAGCAGAGTGTATAATAATATGTAAAACACACTACATCTGCTATATCCAGTACCGACGAGGCCTTTCGTCGAATACCAGGGCTCTTCGGGGGATACGCTTGACAACTATGAAGGTGTGAACGGTGTTAAACTGGTGTAATTTTTCACCAATGTTTATTTATTACACAACACATAAGAAATAGGGTAATTTTTTTAACAGTATAATATTTATTGTTTATATATATATAAATGAATAAACTAGCCAATCCAGTTACAGGTCTAGTACCACGTTGTTCACAGCGTGACGCATTCCATTAACTTGCCTCTTTAATAATAAAGACAGACCGACAAGTGACACACACACACACACACACACAGGTTTGTTCGATCAATGAATCCTTAGGGTCAGTTGGCTGTTGGAAATCTAAACAATCTAGTTACTATAATAAACGAATTAGAGGTTTGGAGTTTCGCTTCTACTCTCCCTAAACCAATCTTTCTCTCCCAACTGCCACACAGAATAGCCTAACATAATATTTAAGTTAAGAACATGACAAATCCCTCTGTTTATATAAAGCTGCTTTGCTAAGCCTCGTGACCGTAATCAAGATTTAAATCAAAATACGTGGGCACTCCAAGAACGAAACATTTTAATTAAGGAAAAGATAAACAAGAGTGAAAATAAGCAGTCGAGCAAGTAATAACAAGATTTCGTTTTTTTTCGAAACTTAGATTAACTGTTTCTGTCAAAAATGCTATATTTATACTTTTGGAAAACGAAGACACCTATCGAATTAACTGGAACTAGATTAAGAAGTTGCTATATATGTGTGTGTGTGTGTGATTAACGCGAGATTTCCAGTACATGTAAGTTTTAAAACAATTAATTTTTTTCGAGCAGAGATGGGGGTAAGCCTACTGGTTAGCGTGTCCAGCATGTGAATCCGAATATTCATGGTTCGCAATTCGTTGCCGTAAAAACGCAATTCGCACTTTGGAGTCGAGGGTGCACTAAAAAAGTAACGATCAAATCCCACTATTCGAACAGACAAGAGTAGGGTTGAAAATTGCCGTTGTTAACTAACTGCCTTCATTTTAGCCTATCAGTTGAAAACAGGATGAACTACGCACAGATATCCATTCTGTACAATTTTGCGCGAAAATCTGAACCAACGTTTTTTGAGTTGCTTGCTTTGAAAATTAGAAAATACAATTATGCACTACACTATGATTTTTAGATAGTTCTCTAAGAAGGTAACACTCACAAGTACAAGTTCACACAAACCATACTATATATTTTAACCTCTTTCTGCACAAGATGCTTTTCGAAAACCTAACTGAAGATTTCCATCTATTAATCCAGACAAATCACGTACAGTTCAATTCGTTATAGCGCCCTC